AAAAATCAGTCAAAGGCATTCGAAAGATGTGGGGAAAAATATTACAAAAGTCTTTATTCACATGGCTAATCTTTAAAGAACTTACACATTTTGGCAGAGAGCTGTCTTCATCAGGGTAACAGTGATCAGGTGAGTATGGAGTTTTTTTATTTTAAATCTATGGTCTCATTACTCATTAGAATATCGAAACCATATTAAAACAATATATTAAACAACGTCAACTCAACAATCATCATTAATTTAGCATTAGAGGAAGGAATATATATATATATACAGTATATATATATATATATATATATATATATATATATATATATATATATATATATATATATATATATAGAAAGATGATGCGTGTAATACAACATATTTCTCAAATAATACAACATATATGTAGAATGAAACCGAAAAAAATTTATATTTAGACAAATAAACAAATATAGTGTACAAGTAAATGCATTACATGCATGCATATTTAAGTGTATTTATTCGTACAGTTTATTTGTTTATTTGTCTATATATTCATTTTTTTGCTTCTTATTCTCACTATATATATTTCCTAGAGATGAGATGTGGCTGGAAGAGCATACACTGTGTAAAACATGCTGGATAGGTTGATGGTTCATTCCACTGTGGCGACCCCAGATTGATTGAGAAGGACCAAGGCGAAAAGAGAATAAATGAATATATATATATATATATATATATATATATATATATATATATATATATATATATATATATATATATAATTTTTTTTTTTTTTTCAATGCTAAATTAATGATGATTGTTGAGTTGATGTTGTTTATTATATTATTTTAGTATGGCTTCGATATTCTAATAAGTCAGGAGACCGTACAATTCAAAAGAAACTCCAGACTCACCTGATCAATGTTACCCTGAGGAAGGCAGCTCTCTGCCGAAACGCGTAGGTTCTTTATAGAATAGCCATGTGAATAAAGGCTTTTTAAAAATTTTTACACATTTTTCGAATGCCTTGGACTGATTTTTGCTGTTTGTTCTGATGAATCTCTTGCTCAAAGAGCACCAACATGTTATTTGAGCTACCCTAGAGCACTTTCTGTTTGATTTTGGTTATTTATTTATTTGTCTGTATTAGGAACCAACAAGCTTTACTCCACAAAAATAAATAAATTAATTAATTAATTAATTAAAAAAAACATAAATCTGTAGTTATTTTTTTAAGTAAAGCTTGTTGGTTCGTAATAAAGTTTATAAGTTAAGTAATAAGTTTTTTCTATTTTCAAAAAACATTACAAAAAAAAACTTTTTTTTTTTTACAGCAGAGGTAAGAAATTATTAAATCGGTGGTAAAACCCTGATTTTAAATCACAAAAGATCTAAATGACATTATTTTTATTTGAAAATTGCCATAAAAATGTTATCAGACCTTTTCATAAACAGATATAAAACATGCCTAAATAATCATCCAGTGTAAACAGAATTATCAAGTGGTCTCTTAATTGTTTTTCATAGCTGTGTACAATTATGATCTCAAATAAGTTCAAGTTTGTTTGTTTTTTTATACTATGGTAATGAGAGCTGGATGTAAAATGTGCTTAATTGTGAACAAAAAAAAATAAATAAAATAAATAAAAAATGTCATAGAATCATCTGAAATATGACCTGGACAAGATCTCTCCAGGTTTGACTTTATTATGTGCATGTAAATAGTAGACCTGTCACAATATTTTCATGTATGAATGTTTGCCGCTTATAGCACATTTGGGGGTTCATAAATCAGATAATGGGCTTCATAACTGGTTTTCTGTCAGTGTGAATTGGACTTTTATGTAACTACAGAACAATTTTGTATCTTTGACGTGTTTGCTTGTGAATTTGATGAAGATTTTGATCAATCTCTTCAAATTCTAGGCTGAAATTTCACATGTTGTCTTCTGTCGTGGCGATTATACTCATTAGATAAAACATTGATTAAAATGTGCACACATAACCAACATCTATTCATTGTTTTTTAAGGACTTGTTTATGTCTCAAACTAGAAAATGTTTCAAACTTACTCTGAAATACCAAAACATTAAGATGAAACGCATATGAAATGTTAATATTCTCCTGCTGATTTCGTAGCGGAAGCTCATCTCGGCTCACATTGTTGCAGGAATGGAGCTCATTTTTCTCTGAAGTGAGCTTTCTAGCAGCCGATGATTGCTGGAAATGTGATATTAATGCTTTTATTGTGGTGTGGTCCGGCGATGATAATGCAGGAGGCGGTCGAGATGGTCTACATTATGTGCTATAATCATAAGTGATTGCGTTTTGCGGTAATTCAATTAGCATAAAACGTCCACTCAGAGATTCAAGGCCTCAAAGTCCATCTGAACAAATTGTGTCTCTAAATCACACAGTCTTTAGCCGAGCAGCTCATTTGTATTTAAATATGATTCATCTAAAGGTTATGATTTATGAAAGGTTATTGAAGATAAGGCAATGTATTGAGGAAACTAATTGTTTGTGTGTGTTTTGTGTGTGCATGTGTGCGTGCGTGTGTTTGTGTCTGTGTGTGTGTTAGTGTGTGTGTGTGTGTGTGTGTGTGTGTGTGTGTGTGTGTGTGTGTGTGTGTGTGTTAGTGTGTGTGTGTGTGTGTGTGTTGCTGATTGAACAGTATGTTCTTAATGTGTGTGTGTGTGTGTGTGTGTGTGTGTGTGTGTTGCTGATTGAACAGTATGTTCTTAATGTGTCTGTGTGTGTGTGTGTGTGTGTGTGTGTGTGTGTGTGTGTGTGTGTGTGTGTGTGTGTGTGTGTGTGTGTGTGTGTGTGTGTGTGTGTGTGTGTGTGTGTGTGTGTGTGTGTGTGTTGCTGATTGAACAGTGTGTTCTTAATGTCCGTGTGTCATTGTCTGTATGTGCGTGTGTGTGTGTTGCTGATTGAACAGTGTATTCTTTATGTCCGTGTGGCATTGTCTGTGTGTGTGTGTGTGTGTGTGTGTGTATTGCTGATTGAACAGTATGTTCTTAGTGTGTGTGTGTGTGTGTGTGTGTGTGTGTGTGTGTGTGTGTGTGTGTGTGTGTGTATATTGCTGATTGAACAGTATGTTTTTTAATGTGTGTGTGTGTGTGTGTGTGTGTGTGTGTGTGTGTGTGTGTGTGTGTGTGTGTGTGTGTGTGTGTGTGTGTTGCTGATTGAACATTACGTTCTTAATGTGTGTGTGTGTGTGTGTGTGTGTGTGTGTGTGTGTGTGTGTGTGTGTGTGTGTTCATGTTCCTTCATTAATAAGATTATCTCAGCACAGGTTTCCTGACGTTCGCTTTGATCTGCTCTGTCACCACAGGATGGAAAATTCACTGGCTTCATCAAACACGCGCACACACACACACACACACACACACCAAACATAGTTAAAATGCAGAAGAGAGCTTGTTAATCTTCTCAGCTTGTACTACTAATGCTGTTTTACTGTTCCTGTCAGGCTGACGGCTGAACCTGCGGCACATCTGACCTCTGACATCCTCACTTTGACCTTGAAGCAGAGCTATTACAACTGAACAGCGTACAAAAGTAATGCTCTCTCAATATCTTCACTGTAATGAGAGACTAATGCTGCATAATAGATCCTTTCAGCATCCACATGACACTGTGGACTTCTGCAATACTCATACACTACCTGACAAAAATCCAAGTTTTAGCAACAACAATAACTTGACTTCTAGTTGATCATTTGGTATCAGAGGTGGCTTATATGAAAGGCAAAGGCCTCTAGATTACGCTGATTTTACTAAAATAAAATATGATGATGCCTTAATTTGTGACTATTTAATTAGGACAGTAAGGTCTGACTTTGCTTAGACAAAAGTCTTGTCACTTAACAAAAATAATGTCCAGTATAGAATATAGAGTCATGCTCGGTGGATAAAGAATTAATATTGTGTATGACTCCCATGAGCTTGGAGGACTGCATCCATACATCTCTGCAAAGAGTCAAATCACTGATTAATAAAGTCATGTGGAATGCCAAAGAAAGTGTTCTTGCAGGACTCCCAGAATTCATCAAGATTCTTTGGATTCATCTTCAATGCGCTCTTTTTCATCTTACCCCAGACATGCTCAATGATGTTCATATCTGGTGACTGGACTGGCCATTCATTCATTTGTTACTTCGTTCATTATTTTGTTTGTTTGTTACTTCGTTTGTTTGTTACTTTATTCGTTACTTTGTTCATTTGGTAGTTACTTTGTTCGTTACTTCGATTGTTCGTTACTTCGATTGTTCGTTACTTTGATTGTTCGTTACTTTGTTTGTTCGTTCATTACTTTGTTCATTGCTTTGTTCATTACTTTGTTACTTTATTCGTTACTTTGTTCGTTCGTTACTTTGTTCGTTCATTACTTTGTTCATTGCTTTGTTCATTACTTTGTTACTTTATTCGTTACTTTGTTCGTTCGTTACTTTGTTTGTTCGTTCATTACTTTGTTCATTGCTTTGTTCATTACTTTGTTACTTTATTCGTTACTTTGTTCACTCGTTACTTTGTTCGTTCATTACTTTGTTCATTGCTCTGTTCATTACTTTGTTACTTTGTTTGTTACTTTGTTCGTTCGTTACTTTGTTGATTTGTTCTTTACTTCATTTGTTCCTACCTTTCTTCTTTCATTACTTTTTTCCTTCCTTCCTTTGTTCAGTCTTTGCTTGAATCCTTCCTTCATTCAATTGGTCCTTCCTTCCTTTGTTCAGTCATTCTTCTTTCGTTCTATTTAGTGATTTAAGGCTGTTTGGTGATTTCAGTCATCATACAGTGGACATCCTTCAGTCAGTGATATACAGTCTATAAATTGTCTCAGGGTCAATGCGTGTAAAGATTTTGAACATCTTGTACATTTTTAATGCTTCCAAACAGTTTGCTGCATTTATAAAGCGCCCATGTCTTGAGGTTGTTCAGTATGATGCGATTTACCTTCTATGTGCGATTTGATTAGGCAGGAATCACAGGACTGATCTTTCTACTTTAGCCAATCACTATAGACAAGAAAGAAAAAGACAGTAGTGACTGCAGGTACAAGGAAAATAGTGGAGTAAGAGTATCGATACTGCACTAAAAAGGTACTCAAGGAAAAGTAATAGCCAAATTTTTAAAACTACTTAGTAAATTACAATTCCTGAAGAAAAAAAAAAATACTCAATTACAGTAATTTGAATATTTGTAGTTTGTTAATTTACTCCACTGATCGTCACTGGTGGGACACTAAAGGCTGATTTATACTTCTGCGTCAAACACCGGCGTATGCTACGACGTTGACGCATAT